TCCAAGGTACTTGTATTCACTTACCCTCGGTATTTCTTGGCCTTGTATGGACACCGTCTGATCACAGGGATCATTGAATACCATCAATCCACACTTCGTTACACTGAATCCTAGTCCAAGAGCTTCACCTTCCCTTCCGCATATATTCGCCAGCTGCTGTATATCATCTCGGCTGTCCGCAAATAAGACGATATCGTCCGCATAAAATAAACCTGGAAGCTTCTGCTCAATCATCATGCCGCCCTGTTTGTGTGACAGATTAAAACCAATGTTGCTACCTTCTAGCGCTTTTTCCATACTCACCATGTACAGCATGAATAACAGCGGGGACAAAGGACATCCCTGTCTCAGACCCCTGCTAACCTCAACGTTCTCTTTGCTATGCATTCCTTCCCACTCTATGCAAACTGTATTTTCTCGGTATATCTCCCTCAAAAGCTGTATACAGTCGTCGCCCATGCCCATTCCTTTCAATATATCCCACAAAATTTCCTGATTAACGTTGTCGTATGCCCCAGTGATGTCTAGAAAAGCCACGTACAAGGGCCTATTCTCTATTTTAGATATTTCTATACACTGAGTGAGAACAAACAGGTTATCGTCTAACCGCCTGTCGACTCGAAATCCGTTCTGAAGTTCTCCCAAAATATCGTTATGTTCGGCCCATGTTTCTATTTTCATTTTTACTGCTTGCATCGCCATCCTGTATAGTACCGATGTAATGGTTAGTGGTCTATACGAGCGAATCTTGTCCTTTTCTCCCTTGCCTTTATAGATTAAGGTCATTCTACTTTGTCGCCAACTGTCCGGTATTTGTCCGTCCTTTAAGCTTTTTTCTACTGCTTTTAACAATGCTTCTTTAGTGTTATGTCCTAGTTCGTTAATGAGGCTAACGGGAATCCCATCTAAACCCGCGGCAGTGCGCTTTGGAATTTTTCCTTCGGCCTTTTTCCAGTTGAAATTATCAAGTACTAGCTCTTCCTCTGTTGCTTTCTCCGCCACACTTTTACTCACCGGCGAGATCCCCTGGACGCTCTTTTGAAACGAATCGGCTGTTCCCTTTTGGATGTAACCTAGCGCTTCGTACCCTTCCAATTGATTTCCTCCTTCATCTAGAATATGTTGTTGCGTTATGACAGACTTCCTACCTAGCGCCTTTATGTGGCTCCAAAAAATCCTAGGCGCGGCCTCCTTTTTTTCGTGTATCTCTGTCATCCAGCATTCACTTTCACCTTTAATTTTTGCCTCTACCAATTTCTGTACAAGGGATTTTTTCTCTAAATATATTTCCCATATTTTTTTGACTTCGTCCTGCGGCCGCTTCTCCTTTTTTGCCTTTCTATGCTCCCGTGATGCTTCGCGTCGCTTCTCGATCGCCTCCCGGATTTCCTTGTTCCACCAACTTTTTGGCTTCCTTTTTCCTTTCCAGCAAACAGTTTTCTTCTCTTTCCCTATCTCCTTCGTCATTAGATGTAACAGCTCACTATACTCCCAGTCCTTGCCTGGTATTTCGCCTACTTCTTCCTCGACTCTTGCGGCTATATTTATTATTTGTTTGTCATTTAAATACGAGCTGCCAGACTTTGATTCCATGCTCATATTTTCAGTTTCGTATCCCATTTGTAATGTTATTCGTTTATGATCACTACCCAAGCTGTTAATGCCTTCCTCGTCTATCCTCATTTCTGTCAGTTTGTGGTAAATTCCTTCAGTCATGAGACAATAATCAATACTTGATTGCTTGTTTCCGACTTCCCATGTGATCTGGCCGTCACATTTAGGCCCCGTGTTAACTATCTCCAGACTATGTTGCTCGCAAAGATCTAGTAATAACTTCCCATTGGTGTCTGAATATCCGTCAAGGTCCTGTATGTGGGCATTCATGTCCCCTAGAAGGATGATTTCGGCCCCATTACCAAATTCCTTAATATCCGCACTCATGCAATCCACTATCTCCTGATTCTTTTCTCTGCAGTTATTCCCCGTCCACAAGTAGGCTACCCCTAGCCACGTTTCCTTTCCACCTACTGTGCCCAGAACCCAGAGGTGCTCTGAACACGTCTGTTTCATTCTAACCCATTTGGCTCCGCGGTGAATTAGCATTCCTACACCCCCACCTTTCCTTTCCGATATGGTCCTGTTACACCCTTCCCAAACATAATTTTTAATATGTGGTGGCTCTTCCAAGTCTCTAAGGTGTGTTTCTGTAACCGCATACACGCCTATCTGTTCTTTGTTTAACTGCTCCTCAATCTCTAACCATTTTGCCTTCTTTCTGCCACCCTGCATGTTTATGTAACTAATTGCAACACGCGCCATTTTCCTTTTTCTTTTACCTTTTTTCTGGTTTTTCGCAATTCTACCTGTCAAAGCGTCCTCCTGGTTGTTTTCCCTGTTACGAGCTACCCCGGACTCCGAAGGGCCCGTGAGCCCCCCAAAAAAGCTACTGCGCGTCCTGCCAGTCGCCAGCCCACCTCGTGTCCAAGCCTCTTATCGAAATGAATCTTGTCTCTTTGGAATCCACCCCACCTGTGCACTTCCCTGTTTAAATCCACTACCTCGAAACCCTTCTCTCGACTAATTCGCCATATCTCTTTGTTTGCGTCGACAACCGCTCTTTGCAAGTTGACGTTGCGTACTGGTACTTCCGGTACTGTGCATACTACAATTTGCACCTGGGGGGACACGGTGCGCATGTCATCCACCCCTTTCGCCAAGGTCGTCGCTAGTCCTGACGATTCTTTTTTCAGGACGTCATTTAACCCTCCCGCAATTACAACGAGGTTACGATTGTTAGCTTTAGCTGCGAGTTGTTCACCCGCTTGACTCATTACTGTCCCCAGCGTTTGTCCTGGGAACGTCCCTATCGCAACTCTCTTGTCGCCTTTCACCCTTTCTTTGATTGCCGCTGCGCATCGGACTAAATTTGAGTCACCGGCGATGATGACCTGTTCAGACATTCCTTCTGAAACCTGCACCTGGCTGCTGACTAGGTGACTAGCGTGAGTCACGGCTGCTGGTTTGCTCCCTCCCTCCCTCAAAACTACTTCCCGGTAGCTGGGCCCTGTGGCCAATGTATCTGCCTTTGTCATGCCCGTTTCCTTCATCTCTCCCGCACGGGGGGTCGTCGCCATAATGCTTCCGCCGTCACCTGCGTCTTCGTTCCCTTTCACGACCTTCGATAGGCCCTTCTCGGCTGCCCGGAGCCTTTCTTCCATGGCTGACGTTTTCTCTCGCTCCTTCGCCAATGCATTCTCCAGCTCTGCGATTCTCTCCATGAGCCCACTCTGGACCGCCATCATATTTTTCATTTTCTCCTCGAACTCGCACTGTCTACACTTGGCGTCATCTTCTGCTTTCTCCTCCGCACTAATTTCCACCTTCCACCCTACCCCGCACTCTGAACACTTTACGGTCTTTTTGACCATGGCTAGCTCAGTTTACCGATGCCCACGTGTTAGAAAACTGTACTAAAATACACTGGTCTAAGCCAAAAAGAACCACAATAATAAATAAATACGCTACACTTCACAGCACCTGCGCATGCACGTGGTCGGTCTACGCGCAGGCTTCAGCCACGTGGTGGCTGGAGAAAAAAAGACACAGTACAAAATACTAATTAAAAAAAAAAAAAAAACGTACACCGTACTAGACCTAATCAAGCTTTACGCTAGCGCCTTACGTTCTCATAACGCTACATATAGAGGCAAGCTGGAAACATGCAAAAACACTTATCTGTAGCTGTCATTCCGGAGCTCTCCAAAAACACGTCCGACCTCTACCACTCCCCTCGTCAGTCCCTACATACGGAGACGGTACCGCCATCTAGTGAACACTGCAAGAACTAAACTAGAGGTGGCTACATACAGGGGACGGTACCGCCATCTAGTGAACACTGCAAGAACTAAACTAGAGGTGGCTACATACAGGGGACGCACAGCCCACGCCCTAAGGAGCTTCGCCCCTAAAACTGTATTTTCTAAAAAAAAAAAAAAAAAAAACGAACATGCCACACCAGATGTAAAACTAACTGCTTACAAAACATTCATACGTCCTGTCTTAGAGTACGCTAGTATTGTATGGTCGCCTCACCAGAAGGTGTTGTGGACAAAAATTGGAAGAATACAAAAATTGGCAGTCCGTTTCATATGTGGTAGATACCGACGCACACACTCAATCACAGCTTTGTTAAAGTCCTGTGAGCTTGAGTCTTTGGAATATCGCAGGCGAAAACATCGCCTCAAATTTCTTTTTAGGATTATAAGCGGGCAAACAAAGATAAATAAGGATTTATATATTCAGCCCCCTGGAAGGCGATGTGATCGTCTTAATAATAGTAGAGCAATTCAGCCTTATTTCACACGCATGAATGCTTTCCGCCGCTCATTCTTCCCAAACAATAGATATGTGGAACAGCTTACCCTATGCGGTTGTGCAACAAACAACATCAGTGGATTTTGAAAATGCATTGGACAGTTTTCTTTGTAGCGATGTGTGCTAAATTCTGTTGTCAGCATTTATTTGTTGATTTTTATGAGTGTAGTCACTGTTGTTTGTTTCTTATTTTTTTATTGTTGGTATTTATATAGTATTAATGGTATCTCGTATTTATATGTGCTTTTGAATTTTTCTTTTTTGTGCAAACGTTATGTACTTTGTAACACCCTCCATGTAATGACCCCAAGCACGGGGTTGACAGTATCAAATAAATAAAATATTCTGAACCCATGCCTGACCTCTAAATTAGATGCAGAAAAACTTTTGAACGGAGGTTAAGTGTGAGTGGCATGCTACTTTAAAGCATGAATCAATGTAGAGTGCACGATTTGAGACATCAATCTGTTAAGCCAATGCGAAATGTCTTGAGGCAAGACATGCACAAAGTGCTCCGTACAGACTCGAATAGGTGGCAAAAAGCAGGCTTGGTAGCTTCTATGACAGTTTGATATTCTATTTCACTAACTTACGTTAAAATGTGGAATACTCATTGAAAAGGATACATGGACTGGCTGAGATGTTGCAGCTGTAACAAAAGACATCACTACGTGAACAACGAATTCATAGAAAAAATAACAGCACAGCAGTGAGACAACTCAAGTGAATTTTTACAGTATACGTGCTACAATGTCACATGGCTAGGAGCACATTCTTCGTACTTCTACCAGAGATGACGGCCAAGTTCATAAACTAATCGAGATGTGGCAGATTGTGTTTTTCTGTTTCACTTTATATGTTACGAGAAATTCGACAAAATTATCTGGCACACGAGATCATGGTTTGAATTATCGAGGTCTTACATTAGTGGCTTGTGAAAACTCGCGTCTAACACGAGAATGTATTTAGAAGGGCCAGAACCTTGAAAATTGAGACAAATTCACTGTATTGGATATGTAGTAGGAAATTAGAAGAGGGAGAGAACTCACATTTTCAATCAGCTTTGTCAGGTTGTCCTTTGCCAGCTGCCGTCCCTCCTCAGATTCGGGACTGGTAGGAAAGAAAGATGTGAACACACTTTCTTGTACTACTCATATGCCTTATCAGTGTTATAAGCACTGCTAAGCAGGAGCTTATTTGCTACAGATACAGACGAGGCCGCTTACAACGAACCTCAGCGTGACGCGGCATATGTACGCTGTATACTGAAGTTCTTAGTAAACGAAACAGAGCTTCAAAAAAGTTGCAAGTGAGAACACAAAATTTCTTTTTGCAAAAAAGTTTGTAATGCACGTGCTTTGAAGAGCAGAAGCGATAAGGATGGTCTCAAGTTTATTTAATGCGGCAGCATGCTTTTTGCCGAGACCCTTGGCATATACAAGCTGCCAGAGGCTATTAATGTAGCCAAGACGGGCACCCTTGTGGACATTGGCTCCAAAGTTTCGTCGTTGTCATCATCCAATTCCTCCAAATCGCTCTTGCCACACACTTCACTGACAATGCTCTCATCCGTGCACAGTTCTGCAAAGTCTGCATCATCACTGGCCCTAATGAAATCATCCCAGCAGATGTCTCGCCCTCCCATAGAGCCGACAAGCGCTGCCACAAATCTCTGTTGGATTCTTCCTGTGCAGAAGCTTCAGGCTCGGCATCAGGTGCGAAGTCGACAAACCCGCCTCATGAGAACAATTTCGCACACATTTACCTTTCGCTTCCGCCTACGAAGCCTTCATTATCTCCTCAGCTGAATGAAAGGACTGCCGAAGCGGCAAGTTGGCTGTCCTGCAGTCAACACCTACGAGCAAGTGCTCCACTACGCGGCACATGTAATAAGTACCTACGTGCTGGTAACGGCCCAGCCAAGCAGACCCACTTTCAACGTTTTCCTGAATGGAAAAGGTGCGTAGGAACTCCTGTCCACCATCTTTACCCCCACCCCCCCCCCACCCACAAAGAGAAAGTGGGCAAGACGTGCAAGCGCAAGCCAGGACGCATGAAACTGCTCTGGGCCCATTTGTAGCTAGAAAAAAACTTAATTCGAGCCAATGTGGCTAGCGTCCCAAAGTGGTGTAGACGGGCGAAGAAAGCATGACTAAGGGGGGACACCCCCTTAAGCAGACTTGCGAAGGACAGGTGAAGTTGCGAGAGAGTGAAGAGAGGAGAATACAATTGACCGCCTCAAGCCGGCCCTTCCCTCCGCATGTTCTTGCTGCAAGACAACGTTTTGCATCACCGTAATTTACACCCAGAGGGCGCAGAACATTTACTCGTCGTCCCATATCATCTGCGCAAAGACGTCCTTCAAAAGCTTTACGACGCCCCAACTTCAGGACACTTAGGCGTGTTAGAAGATTTTTCTGGAAAGGCCTACATCGCTCCGTTCGTCACTAAGTTGCGACCTCTGCCAATGTCGAAAGAAACTTACAACTCCCCCTGCCGGCTGCCTTCTCCTGCCAGCCGCCTTCAGCCTATTGAAGTCCCAGCTCAGCCTTTTCATCGACTGGGATTGGACTTGCTTGGTCCTTTTCCAACTTCGACAAATGGAAATAAATAGATCACAGTAGCCACGGATTATGCCACTCAGTACGCAATCACCTGAACCCAACCGACCAGTTGCACCACTGATGTTGCCGATTTCCTCCTATACGACGTCATTCTTTAGCATGGTGCTCCTTATCAACTTTACCACGCCTTATCATCTCCAGACCAACGGACTGACCGAACGCCTCAACCGTACACTGGCAGACACGCTTTCAATGTACGTTTCCGACGACCACATTGATTGAGACATTGCTTTCCCGTTCTTCACCTTCGCCTATAATTCATTGCGCCACGAAACTGCCGGCTACTCACTCTTTTATCTTCTCTTTGGGCGGGATTCTTTGTTACCACTTGATACTCTGCTTCCATGTGATCCAACATCGACGATTTCATACGCTCAAGATGCTATCACCTGAACTCTCATCGCACGCACGATAGCCCGCACTCGGCTCACACTGTTCCAGGCTACACAAAAGACCCTGGATGATAGCCAACACAAGCACGGTGATTTTCCTCTGGGACTGTGGCTCCCATCTCGTGTTGGCCTCAGCGAGAAGCTTCTATCGCGATACGTCGGGCCCTCCTAAGTGGTGCACCAGATGACATCTGTCACCTATGAGATTTCTCTGGCAACCAAATCATCGAACTCATCGACTACTACTCTCAAAACCAACATAGTGCACGTCTCTCCCTGAAGGCTTACAATGGTGACACGCCGTTTTAGTCATAGCTGGCACCAAGACGGTGGCTTTACAGGCCGGGGTAATGCCACGGTTGCGGAAACACCTCTCCAGTAGAGCAGCTCAAATGACCCTCAATGAAAGAACATGACGACATTGGTTTTGTGGGGCTCAGCATGGGTTGCCCTGTTGTCTGGAACTCTGTACACCCTGTGCACTGTGATCCCCCTCTCCTACAGATGCACGACCCCTAAATAAATACTCCCCGTAACAGCATAATCAATTTTAGCGTCATTGATTCAGAACAATTTTGCATCAGTTCGAAATGCCCGCCAAAAAAAAACACGTGAAATTTGTTGTAGACATAATAGCGCCAATTCTCGCCCACATATTTGATACCTGCATAACTACATTACCTGTCCCAGCAAAATGAAAATAGCCAAAGTGACATTAAAGCTCCACATCAATTTGGAGTCCGGACAAACAGATCAACAGGATTAGCATTGATTCACAAGAAAGAATACATCTCAAAGAAATGTGAAAGCAAGAAAATAGTAATTGGCTTATTTGTGGGTTTTTCCTAGGCTTTTGACTTGGTGAATCACGAGGTCTTGTTAAGCAAGTTAGATATTATAGCAAGGGGTTAAATTTGCTGAAGCAGAATCACGAGTAGGGCAAGTTGGTGGATGTTCATCATAAAATACTTTACAGCACAATGGGTTAGATATGGATAGAGTGCTGTCCCTTCTCTGCCCGTATCTAACTCGTTGAGCAGTGAAACATTCTACAATAGGTTGAATTTACTGCAGTCAAACCTGTCCCGTCGGCGTAAAGTTGTTCAAATAAATAACTCGCGATCCCAAATTCTGCAACTGGTTTGTGGTATTCCACAGTGTAGCATTCTGGGACCTTTACTCTTCAATCTTCACATTATTGACATTGTTAACATTAGAAATAATGCCATGTTTATCATATATGCAGATGAGACAACCATATTTTTTGCCGAAAACAGCATCGACTACCTTATCTCAAATTGTAATAACGCTTTGCTTCAACTGCAGCAATTGTCTTTATCCAACTCAATGAAGATTGGTTATATTTCGAGCCAAGAATAAGCCAATCCATCATCATGCAAACATTTTCGATTCCTGTGCAGTTGATATTGTCAACCATTTTAAGTGTCTTGGTGTTGTATATAGTGTCCACATGTCTTGGGAATCTCGCATGAACTTGGTGTTAACAAAATTAGCTCGAATAACTGAAATAATCAGTCGGCTCAAACACATTCTCTCTCCGAAAGCTAAAATACGAGTTTACAATCCTCTTTTCTATTCACATATTATTTATTGTCAACTTGTCTGGGGTACGACTTCATTCTCTAAGCTACAAAAGGTTACATTAGGCAGAAGTGATATCTATGCAATGTTTACAATGCTGGGTAAATTGCGACAACCATGGGCTTTTTTCCTATAAAACTGGTATTATAACAGCTCCCAAATTATATTATTGGCTGAGTTCTAGATGTAAATATGAAGTAAAACATCCTAGTACAATTGGAAAGAAATGATCCCTACTATAAAATGAGGCACAGAGATTATTGGGAAAGTTGTGACATCTTCGTTTGATACTGGTATAGTATTATTCTTTACCATTGTTGTTACATCATCTTCAGTTAATAGATTTTTATTTGTTTTGTTGTTGCTCAGCTGCACTCAGATCTGTTTTTGTGAGAAAACATTTTGTTGATCCTCGCGTTGTATTCTTGTATGCTTTCTTTTTAAAGGCTATTGTACACTCTTTTATATAACTGCCTCGCGGGCCACTGGTTGCCGACCCCTGGTTTAGTCCATGCAACAAGCAAGTGCACTTACCCACAGTGTTCTTGCTGCGCGTTGAGTTCGAAATGGAGGCGGGCCAGTCGCTCTTGCTGCTCTCGCACATGCTCCATTTTCTCAAAAGTACAGTCCTTACCTGCAAGGTAGTCTCAAATATGCTCACAGCTAGCAGTTCCTAAAAGCAAATCTGTTGGTAAAAACTTGACAAGCAGACTAATTTAATTAAATGCAGTTTTTAAAACAGTGAATTTGAGCTGTCCGAATAGCCAAAATTGGGAAGCAAAGAGAATAAAGTATTTTTTGAATATTTTGAAGGTAAATTGCAGTGAAATAAATTGGAGAGGATTCCTAAGCATATGGGGATGTGATAATGCAATATAAACCTGTACATGAAGGTCAGCAGCACGTCAGACTGGTCCAATCAGGGGCAAAGCGATCTCATCGTCCGTTTCCCCGTGCTGATATTCGTCATTTTCATAGTGGCACATGCAATTCCACCAGCAACGATACCGCATAATAAAAACTATTATGCTCGTGGCGATATTTTTACGATATAGCAACATGAAATTGTTTCTTTTGGCTAGGTTGAAGTGCTGGCTGGGTGGTGTTTCTTAGTTTTCTGATAAAGAATAAGGCAATGCAACTGGCAAACAATATTTATGTACACGTTTCGGTGTAACCAAAGTGTTGCCAACAACACCATGACAGGCAAAGATGCTATTTTCTCGGCCTCTCCCTCTCTTTCAATTTTTGTGTAGGCTCAAATGGCACAAAAGGGTGCGCTCGCTTTCAAATCTGCCTTGCACACGTCAATGTATAAGAATACCTGAAATTATGGATGCTAAAAATCTTTAGCGTCCTATTTTTCAGTTTCCTTGCCTAAAATCGGTTCACACTGGCATTGAGTTCCCACATCTGTTACATCTATCTTCTCCATGTTGGAACCAATGTTTGGTTGAGCCCCATATATAGGATTTCCAGAATGTGTAGCAGCCCACGCACTTGAAGCTGAATGCGTCAAGTAATACGATTACCATTTACCGTGCATGAGATTAACAGAAACCTAGTGACAATACTTCAGCATATATGGTCTAGTTAGAGTAAGTTAGTAAAATGCATGCTGTAAGCACCGAGACGGAATGCCAGTCCTGATGTGTGTGATTAGGACAGTTAACAAACACACTGATACAGTGCAAAAAAGATTCTCTTTACAATGAAAAACAGATCCTAGTACTGATCACCGAGGAGACTTATTAAACAAGAAGAAGAGCCAGAACAGTCTCTGCTAATAGGACCCAACAAGTTTTCTCACCGAACGCCTGCAGCTTTCCCGAGTGGAAGTCATGCAGCAGCTGCAACAGACCCTGCTCCATCTGTCGCACATCCGTAACGTCTGTCAGGAACGAGTGCTGCTCACAGGTGGCATTGCCTGAACGCCCTTCACTCTCGGCTGCTGTGCAGAGCATTTGATAAAGGAAAGCTCTGAACATCGGCTTGGCAACATCGATGAACAAGAGACACGATTACGTCACACCGACATGCCTCAGCCGGCATGAGTTCTGAGGAATGACAATACAGTCTTCTACAACCCCTTTCCATGAAACTAGAGAAATAATTCAACGATCTTGAACAATTCATAATTATACAATTCAATATCACTTGATTAACACGAAAAAAATAAAAATATCATGTTCAATTCATACATTTACGCTCCATAACAACAATCTTCTTTTTGGACCCATCACTCTTATTGAACAGAACCTGAAGGAATCGCGAAAATGTGTTCCATTTTAGAGGAGTTCCATTTACTGAGAGTCTACTATTTAGCTGCCACAACTGTAAATGTTAAGCTCAGCATTGCAATCGCAACACTTGAGGTACCACACTAGGAGACACCTCATCATGCCACTTTAAGTCCTTTCACTAAATAGGGGGCTCATGAAAGAAAGAAGGGGGTTATCAATACTTTATCGAGAAATGGTCTGCCAGCAGTTTCTCCTAAACGTGAAGGCATCCAACCAATTATTTCTAGCTGTTTCACTTCTTTGAGGATGGCAGAGACCTGTTGGCCTCGGAACCAAGCAAGAGGAAAAAAAACATAGTTGCTTGCTCCGTAATTGGGAAAGTGTCATTCCATCCCCTTGGCACCATATGAGCAGCTCCCTCCACCACACAAACATCACCTTGAGCCTTGTGAATGTATGAGCGGATAAGTTTGTCACTGGTTTTAAGTGAGCAGCTTCTGCAGGGTAACAGCAGTGCAAAGTGACCATTGTGTGTTATGCGGTTTCTGTAAGATTAAATAAGTTGACAGGTACTTCAAATTGAGTCGCTTAGCACGAAGCTACATGTGAGTGGTGTTGTGGATCCCCGCGCTGTTCACCAGTAGTCGCTCCTAATCCCAGCACTGAGCACCCGTTGGTGCCAACTGGGGTCTACCCAGTCTTTTGTGGTAGCGTGGCGTAACTTCGGGTTGAGGAAACGAACGCTGACAAGATGAGCATATGAAAAACAAACAGATTTATGGCACTAGTTACACTTATTTACAGCATAGAAAGGTTAGGGGTTTCACAAACCACGAGCGTGGTGGTTGAACCGTTACATGGTTCAGAGCCACATCCAGCACTATGCGGCGTCGTTTTAAGCCCTGTCGAGCTCCTCCTCCTTGAGTAGAACACCAATCATAAACACAAAACACCGCCCACTGGCCATCAGTCAGTAACACACGGTCCGCCGAATTGTTATTGCACCTCTTGACGCAATGCTCTGAGGTGAGGGGAAATGGGGTTCTCTCTATGAACAATTTGGCGGTTGTGTTGCTTCTTCCGTCTTTCCCTGGAAGGGCAGCCAAGGAGACACGACCTGTGTGATCGGTCTGCTTCGCCGTCTCGCTAAACAAGCCGGCCCGGAGGAATTGCTTGTAGGGACATTGGCTCATGGACCGTCTTCTAATCCCTTTATCGCTCCCCGCCGCTGGATGCTGGTTCTGAGAGAACTGGGGTTCCGGGCGTGGGAGCGCTGCCCGGCTACGTTTCTCAGCGACAGCATGGCGCCTACTGATGATGGTCATAACAATGGTCATGCATACAGTGTGAAGGAATTGCACAGTCTTCCAAAATCGTCGGGTAACATGCAGTACAAATGAGAACCGTGGGCGACGATGTACGGCAGGAGGTAAGCTTTTATTTTTCACTGTGCTAGTAAACCCAAGAAATGATGTCAGTATGTATGTTGGGTGCGAAGCTATGGAATTTGTTTTGTTCAAAATGACGTGGATATTGTGAATGAGAATCCAATTTTACCTAATGGCGACTGCTTGCCATTTCGGTTGGCAGGGCTAAATGAATTCCTCATGTATTACTGCGAAAAGTGAGAACAAGCACATGAACGTTAGGATAATTATAGAGGAAGTGCGTGGCGTTGTGTATCTTGTATGCCACACAACCGTGACCCAACTCTTGTTTCATGATTGAGCGATTTCCATGCAAGCAATTTCACAGCCAGTTCGTTTCTAAAGGTGTTTTGGCTGTGGCACCTATACACACAACAGTTCGGTGGAGTGCTGGAGTTCGGCAACTTACACACGTCCTTCCAGCGAGGTGCCATTCTAGTCTGCAAATAATATTACACACCTGCAAACAACCAGTCCTGCTGAACTCGAAAAAGCAGTCAACTAACCTGATATTATGTTGAGCAATAGAATTGAGAGTAAGCGCTTGTATTCTTTCCAATAAACACTTTCCAAATATCGTTTCGGATGGCCGAATGCGCTATCCTAAACTACGAAGGTGTCCATGGGTGTGCGACTGCACTTGGTCCTTTGAAAAAATACAGGTTAGCTTTATCATACAACTCGTAAAAACAAATTTATGCATAACAGTGGCGCAGTGCCGGTGAACCACCAGTGCTGCAGTAGGCCACCACCGCATCGTCAACACGACTTTACCTTATTTTTCTGGAGAATTGTAACTCGCACAAAGCTCACGCACGCAGACAGACCGACGCGTGTCATTCCAGCTTTGAGAATGCAGGAATTCAAAATCTCACCTCACAACTTATCTAGACAGAAATTTCGCCAGCACTTGGCAGTCAAAGTGCGCACGGATTGCGAGTCCAAAAGGTGCTCGGTACCTTTGCCATTCCTGCGTCGTGGTGTCGGTTTGAACTCCATTTTGGGTCTCTCCGACTCTAACATGACTCGAGCGAGCGGCGACTTGGAGAGATGCCGCTCGCTCTCGGCCCTGGCTGGCTCGCTGCTCGAACTGGGATGCAGGAAAGCAGGCGGAGGTGCCGCCGCCGTCGATGTACTCGGCACCTCGACTGACTCCGCGCCGGCAGCCGCCGCGTTGCTGTCCATTGCCAGTCGGAGGTAACCGGCCTTACTGGTGCTTTCCTTCAGGCGCAACATTTATGCTCTCTCTCTCCCAAACAGACAGGAATGTCATTACACAGGTGGACCAGACTGACAGCCCGTCATGTGTTGGCATCGGCGGGCGTAATGTCTAGTTGGTCTCCTATATGCTCACTCGCACCGCTTGAGATAAGCTTATGGTGTGCTTTTAAACAGCCTCCGAGACCAAACAGCAAAACGCGCAAAATAAATCACAGAGGCCGCGCGTATCGCCGACAGGCGGCAAGAGCAGCGTTTGGCTTATACGTTTGGCAGGTTTCTGCATGCTGACATGCGTCAGAGCTCCATCTATCTAATAGGTGTGCTTTTTTTACTTCATGGTGCTCTGTGGTCTTTGATATTTTGTGCAATCCAGGCTGACAGTACTCTCGGTTCCTCCGCGAACGTCGCAGTACGGACACTGGTGCGGAGGTCTGTCGCGGCGATTAGATTGTGCAGTGCCGAGTAGATCACTACTTTTGGATGGTGCCGTGTTGAAACGACGTTGTCGCTCATGTCCCAGCTGTCCAAGGAGTCGGGCGTTGACCTGAACTTCGACGAAATAATGGCCTCATCGTTGACACTGGAGGACCCGACCACGCCGTACAGTTTCTACGAGGTGAAGGATCGCACCGTCGTGCCGTCGCTGCCTCCACAGTGCGCGAGGTAAGGCGAGATAAGCCTAACACGCGCGCGCGTGCGCTGCTTCGTATTGCAAGCGTGTCCGTCAGTTGCGAGTGGCGCACCCCTGGACAGCTAGTGCGTGTCATGCTTCTCTATTGCGCCTGCGGCAAGGAGAAACTCTGCGACGTCGTTCGGTCGAGCAGTGTTGCGCAAGCCACCCGTCGTCGATGGTGCACTCTGTTTTGTTTACGATCGAGCACTTCACAGCTGACTGCTGCTGTAAGACGGCCGCTCAGCGAAATGACTCATAACCGAACTCGGTGCGTTTTTACGCGTCGGGCCCATGGCTTTTTTTTTTTTTTCGTTTGACGCTCGAGTTTGTGCGATAGCTGAGCGGCAGCAAAAGCCACGTCGTGGTTTGTGCACTGCGCGGGTCCCACTTTACCGAGGTGAAAGCGAAAGTGACCTTTCATCGATGCCTTTCGCGATAGTGAGCCGTCGCTTTGGTTGCCTATTGCAAGCTGGAAGGTGCGTTGAACATCGGCAGGGCGCAGGTGATGTAATTTCCGCGAGCCAGCGCAGTTTTTAACGACTGTTGCCTCAGGCGCGGCTACATCGAGTTCAATGAGCTCTATTCCTCGTTCGAGAACTTCCGAAAATGGCGACGCAGTTGGGTTTGTGACTAAACATTCCTTGTCTTCGCCTTGTCTAATATAACCAGAAGAGCGCGAGAGGGGTTAGACCGAAGAACAGTCTCCTTTTCTTTGATGTTTTCTTTTTGTTGTTGTTTGACACAGTCAAGCAAGGAAGGATTGCTGCTTAGTCGAGTAATTGGGAGACGAATGAATGAAAGTTGACGTCCGCCCGTCGCGTTCTATGAACAGACCTACGGCGATGGTCGTTTTCCCGGTTACAGTCTAACCGTGGCAGTCAGTGTGGGACATTCGTTTTGACACATTGCGCTGCAACTGATCCGCATGACGTTGCAGCTGGTCAGTAAACGCTTTTGTGAAACCTGTTAGCGTCATAACTGCCAGTCTTCAGCTGGCGACTAAGAAATAGATGGAAAGTTCCCATTTCCACTGTACAAAAGATGAATGAATAAATAAGGCCCTTTTGGTTGGGTGGTGGCCTGCGCCACCTAGCTGCGAATATGTATTGTGCTTACTACAGGATTAAATTTCACTCCTGTAACTTTAGCCACCAATGACGTAACTTTCATTTGGTTATTTCTCCCTGTCTAAGGTCTCTTTTGCCTTCACTGTCTGTAAACCCAAATGCTTTCTTAATATTGAGCCCTGTTGCAGGAGAAGCCCATTACTGAAAAGTATCATGTGTTCAGCCATTTCCTCCTCTCCACACATGCTGCATAATGTGTGTATCCCATCATACTTGGCTAGGTATGGTCTCAAGTTACAGTCCACAATGCTTCTGCCTTGGCTTCAAATGACAGTGAGCAACTCCTCGAACAATGCGTGGAAGTTTGGCATTGTTTCGGTTCTGTATATTTCCATGCTACACAGGGCCACACGAGAAATGAATGTTCCACATTCATGGTCATGGCCACATGTGGTGCTAGATAACACACCTTGGCATAGGCAGAGTTCTCCATCAGATGGTGGGTATCATTGCAGTGCCTACCCCCCCCCCCCCCCCCCCCCCCCCAATAAGTCAAAGTATTGTCTTTTGACTTTGCACTCTCCGCTCCCCTTGGGTGTCTAGTGGGGTGCTTCCCCTTGTACGTCTGCCTATGCTTGCACCTCTGTCATGTAACACATGTAAGATCATTCTCAGCAAATGGGCTTCTTCGTGAGCTCACCTAATGATATCCACTTGCGAATTCTTTTCCGAAATTGTGCAAGGGTGACATGTAAAATCTGGATGACGGGAGCTCACTAAAGAAGCTTAGTAACGTAGGGTTTTGGGTGCGTTGGTACGTCGTCATGATGTTGCCTGAATTTATGGTTGCAATTTTCTGGAATAAACATTGATGCCAGTTAACTCTTATCCCGTCTTTATCTGTGCGTGTTTTTTCGTGCTCTAGAAAAGTACAATATCACTGAAAAATTTACAAAATTTGTAAATCACAGTTGAATGTACTGCATTCCTAAGTTAGTGTTTTTTTCTTGGCCTCAGAAAAGCATTTGACCTGGTAGACCATGTCATTTTACTTGAAAGATTAGGTTAAGATGATTTTCAAAAAAGGATTTTCAAAATACTATGTAGAATTTTTTCCAGAATTACTTTTAAGGGTCACCAGCAGATTGCCAATATCAGTAACATTGTCATAATTCTAATTCATACAAACAGCTGTGCCACAAGGTTCCGTATTAGGACCATTGCTATAGCTGCTACACATAATTGACTTGCCCCTAGTACTAATTGCCAATATGGTTATGGATGCTGATGACGCCAACAAAATTATTACTGTTAAAAATATTTCATCAGGCATATAACAAATGAATACTAAATGTGCCAAACTTGTCGATTGGTTTGCAGCTATCAAGATTATAAAAAAAAAAATACCGCTAAAAATCCAGCTCCACATGATATACTACTACACGCCAGTAATCGCTTCCTTAAACGTACACTCTCTTTTGCGTTCCTTAGTGCTGTCCTAGGTTTAAATTTGCAGTTTCAGCTAAACACAGTCTATTCGAAACTAGCTTTCATTTGTTACTTCTTGCTAGCTTGGAAATATTTTGATGTTTCATTTCTGCACATTTTGTATTTTACTTTGGTGAACTAACTAGAATTCTAGGGTTTGGCGTATAACTTTAATTTGAGCCAGTATGACAATTGCAAAAACAAGCTGTACGTTTGATAACTCTGTCATGTAACAATCAACAGAGCAGCGCACTGTTTGCTAGGCTGAAAGTCATGTCTTTTGACCTTGTGCAGGAAGTAAGATTAGCTGTATTTTATACACCTAATCATACTTAGTATTAACAGTACAACAATTTCTGAAGTTTTTCATTGGCGGCTATCTTTCCATGTGGTCATATGACAGCTGCCACCTTGAAATTTCTCATTGCTGTCAATGAGAAAGTTCAACAAATATTTTTTCCTTAAAGCAAAAATTTTAATAAGATTTGCCGTATAAAAAAGTGTTTATTTGACGATTTTGCAAAATTTCCCAAATGACGATTTTGCGAAATTTGTGATTTTTTCTCGGAAGGTTTAGCAGCTTTAGCGGTCTAAAAATATTTTTCTCAAAATATACCTTCTATGGAATAAGTATTCACTGCAGAGATATTCATACAAAGTGCAATATTGCCACAGAAGAAATTCAAACATAACACATTGTGGCTAAATTGTTGGCACATGCAGTTTAAAAATAGCACTAATATTACTGAGCTTCAAATTCCTTCCACAAGCACATTTACTCATCATGTAAACTAAATTTGGTATAGAAAGAAGGAGCGGTGCCTTTAAAATAAATTTTTCCACAAGCAACACCTGGAAGACATTCTGGGAAGTTCAGAAGGCAGCCACGTAGCTCAAAAATTTTTTCTCTGAAATATTCTAGCAGTTAACTGTTTTCAATGGAGTAAATCAACACGATTTTTTTTTTTTTTTCAAATGCATTAGCGATGGTCACAAAAATGGTTGGGATGTTTGGCATGGAATGACCCAATTCTGTGTGCCGACGGCATTGAGTGTTGCACACGCTAGGGGGTGATAGCATCACCGGACAGCTTCTTATTTTTGTAGCTCTCTCAAATTGAAACTGAGGCTAGTGGGTAGTGAGGAGCCTGTAATTAATTGTCTATTGTTCATGGCAACAAACACTGTGCCATGTTATGACTAACAGGCCCCCAGCAACACATTATAGCAAAAAAAAAAAAGCATGAAGCCATAATTCTTGTGTCAGTACCCCTTTAAAATGTATACCCTAAAAACCCGCGTTTAGCCCGGGGTTTTTTCTAAAATTTAGGGTGCGAAATTTCAGCCCCGTACTATATGCGGATCCCAAAAAAGTTTCGGCCCGAATTCAGTTTTGGTTTCGGCATTGGTTGGTGCTATCATCATTATCAGGTGTCTGCGCACTTCTACGTTAGGTGGCGTGGTAGCGTGAGCGGCGTTAGTCCTAGAGACCTACAAGCGTGCATCAGGCGAGCAACAGTGGCCATTGCAATCACTTGGCGCACATCACGACGGCCACGATTTTACGTGAATTTAAGTCATGTCGTGACCGCGCAGGCAGTACTCGGCTGCCTTTAAGGGAAAGTTATATCTGCTGCCGAATCCATCGGCAACTGTGCCGCGGAGCGGCAGTTCGGTGTGAATGAGCGGAGCATTCGCGGTTGGCGGAAGCAGAAGGAAGCCCTTTTTGCATGCTGCGGCAAGAGAAAAAGTTTCCGGGGACCGAAAAATGGAGCATTTCCAGACGTGGAACGAGAACTGATGGACTTTCTTCGGGAGCAACGAGCTGCCGTGCCGTGCCTTCAAGAAGTGCTCCATCTCAAACGCGCTTGATGGCACGGAGGATGAGGTGCTGTGGGAGGACATTTCGAACAAGGGAGATTCGGAAGACAGTGTGTCAGACAAAGACAACGACTAATCGTGCGCGCGCGTGCGTGCGCATGCAAGTGTGTAAATAAACGCATTTTTTCTGTTTTCCTCGAACAATATTCGCGTGAAAATGTTTTTTTTCGCGTTTGCTATCCCCGAGTTACACCTCGAACTATACGCGGGTCCGAACTATACGCGGGCTTTTACGGTATGTACCAACTAGCCCAATTTTCAGGGCATTAGCAGCATCATTAGCCTGCCCACTTTACTTTTTGTCACCCCCCTTACTTACTAGATTTCTCTGGGAACCCAGTCAGTTACCCTTAGTGACCAGCGGTTATCCTGCCTACGCACTACGTGCCTGGCCCATGTTCATTTCAACTATGATAGATTTAACACCAGTTTGTTCCCTGACTTACTCTGCTTTCTCCTTGTCTCTTAAGGTTACACCTATCATTTTTCTTTCCCTGACTCACTGCGTCGTCCTCAATTTTAAGTTGAACCCTCTTTGTAAGCCCCCAGTTACTGCTCCGCAAGCAAGCACCGGTAACGGATACTGGTCTACTATCATTAATAATTAAAGATACTTACCAAATGTGCGCCACCAAATTCGTACTCTTCTAGTTAGTGCTTCAATCTCGTGGTTTGGCTCTGCAGTTACTACCCGTCTTAAAGGGCCCCTGCAACACTTTTGAGCATGGTCAGAAAGCTCTGCCGATCGGTAGTAGAGGTTCCCAACAATACGCAAGCCAATTAATATAGCGCAGCACGCGGCCTGGAGTTCACAATAAATTATCAAAGCCAGCTTCAAATTGCTTTCTCTTCTCTCGACAAATCACGGAAGACGCTCAAAAATCACTCGTAAAAAGCCCATCTATCAGCCATTGACTGATTTGAACATGGCGCGCTCCTTCTTTGCAGAGATTGCCGCAAGAGGCCGTCACTTGTCCACGCGTGCTCGTGCAATCACACTAAGAAAGCCACGCATTTGAAGGAAAAAGAAAAAAAAAAGTGCTCAAGGTCACGAGGCTCACGTGACATCTTTTCTTTGCCCTTGCCATTCCTCCCTGCTTAGCTTCCAGCGCTTTAGTTGGGACGAGAGAAGAGAGAATGCAATTGCAGCTTGCAACAAATTTTTGTGACTCCACTCACACTGAATGAATTCTTAAAATTTCTGTAGCATTGAATTCGTGAAGCAATAAGCTCTTCCAGTGCATTTATTCTATGGTTACTTGAAAAAGTGTTTCAGGGCCCCTTCAAGTAGACACATTCTCTTAAAACTTCTAGCGTCTCTCTACCTATCTCAAAGTGCTGCTTTCTCCCGAGACTATTTCACATTACTTAGTTTTATGCATATTGATTTTCAGACCTATTCTTCTGCTTTTAGTGTACAGTTCAGCAATCACCAATTGCAATTTGCCTCCTGAGTTGCTCAGCAATGCAATGTCATCAACGAAGCACAAGTTACTATGGTGCTCTCCATTAACTCTTATCCCTAACTCTTCCGAATCTAGGGCCCTGAAATCCTCGTGTTAGGACGTGGTAAATGGCATTGGGGACATCGTATTCCTTTGTCTTACACTCTTCTTGATTAATATTCTGTCGCTCTCTTTATGGAGCACTATGGTGGCAGTTGATCCTCTGTAGTTTTCTTCGAGGATGTTTGTATATGTTTCGTCAAAGCTCTGATTCTGCAGTGTCTGGATGACTGCTGATATCTTTACTGAACCAAATGCCTTCTCATAATGTATGAAGGCTGTGTATTGTGGTTGGGTGTATTCTGAGCATTTCTCTTATCACCTGATTGATAGTATGAATGTAGGCTATCATTTAGTAGCCCATTAAAAATCCTGCTTGTTCCTTTGGTTAATTGAATTCTAATGTCTCACATTTCGAACACTTTGTGTACGAAATGTTTTGGGCAGGCACTGGAGAGGGGTGCGGAAATTGTTTTTGTAAACATCACGGTGCTGCACTCTGTGCACCAGCAACTGCATGGCACAGAGCACTGTGGTATTCACAAGATATGATCGCCTTGGCCTTCTCCATGAATCAGCTTGTTTGATAGGTGTAAGAAAGAGTCGGAGCCTGTTTGTTGGCACTTTAACCCTTTGAGGTTCAACGATGTATATGTAAGCCATTGCCTGTGTGTTTAAGATGTGCGTCTTTTCAAATGATTCTTTCTGGAGGTGTGCTGCCACATTGCAGAAATACATAGAATTATCTTCTAGCACCGATGAATCTCAGTTTCCTTTCTGCTAGTTTCAATTTCATCCTTGAGCTGCTCCTTACTTATTCCACCCACAAAGCTGATGGCCTTATGGTTTAGAATCTTTTATAAAGGTGACGGATTTGTTTCATGTAGTGCTCCCCATAACGCAATCTCGCCTGTTTCCATCCAGGTGCTGACTGACATAACATATGCCACTGTAGTTGCGTTTTCTCTTTTGGGGGCTCTCAAAATCTGTTTCCCTTTCTTTGGAAATAAAACAAATTATTGTTAGCAGTCTCAGACTCTTTTTGTTAGTGTCTGGTCACGTCCACAACTACAAAATGTGCGTCACCCGCATATTTGCTTGCACTGTTGAAGTGCACGCCGGTGATCTCAGCTGCAAAAGTCGATATTCCTCTGAATCCCTGCTTGTCTGGTCAATGAGAATCTGATTCAATTAAACGTCAGCCCACCATACAAGGAGTTACTTACAAGCTAATATTCAGATGTTGATGAACGACCGACCGATATCTCAAAGGCATGAGCGATGGGACAATGCTGACTGGATAACAAGTGGTTTTTCTCCCGCTGCATTTTCCTTTGACACCACTTCAAGCACTCATTTTTGTTTGTCTATGAATTACAAATGTTTATTGAGATGCATAATTTTTAAATAGTTCTGTGTCTCTTTTTATTCGTCTCGCTGTTACTCATGGCAAAACCATGCGCATGTAACCATACTAATAATTTTTTCATCACGTTTCTCTCACACAAAGATATTTTAGACAGCATTTGTCTGAAATAAATTATCCTGAAGAATTTAGTTGAACAGTAGACTACATGAACATAGGATTTATTTCGAAAGTAATATCGACCCTCAAAGAGTCATGAAACGCGGACACGATGTCACTTATTATTTCACAGATGGGTTGCTATCTTTGGTAGTATATAGGTAAAAGATCAACAGCCTAATAACAGTTGGCAACGGCCGCATGTCCTTTCTTCTGGTGGTCTTAGTAGACTCTCATTATTTTGGAGCTTCAAAGAATGCCAGGCCTGTGGAAAACATGCAGCACTGTCACTGCAAAAGCTAGAAGGGCACTCTTTTAGAGCTTTTTCTGAACACGTTTTGAGTAACTCCTGCAAACACACTTGCTGGGTGCCCACTACTCCATAAATAATCATACTTTTTGTGTAATAGGCTGGCATTCACTATGCTATCTACCATCATTCTTCAGAGAAGCGTGGTAGCCGCTACACACTTGCTAGGAATATTGTGCAATATTTTTATGTAGTGGCCTATGTTGAATAAGAATTATGCCTGAAGTGGGTATGAGCCACAGTTAATAGGTGAACAAGAACAAGCTTTTGTAATGGGTTGAATCATTGGATGACTCACTCTTTACGCTATTAGCATTGTGTGACGCGTTGTTCCTTTGATGCTCTAAAATGCTTTATTACTCATGCTAGCGCGATTCCTTTCCCGACATCAAGCCTGCTTAAGGCAAGTTTTGAAATGAGTTTTAAGCGCCAGTGTGACTCAGTGGTAAAATACTGGGCAGCGGACTCAGGTTCGAATCCCATTCTGTTTTCAGTGTTTTTATTTAGTACATTTTTTTTCTTATTTTTTGGATTATAAGTTATGGACACCGCTGGTGGCGAACGACTACGGCGCCGCACTTGACTTGTGTGCTCATCTCATGACAGCTTTCACTGTAAAAAGTCACATTTCTACAGCAAGGGCGAAGCAGTGAATGCATTAGTAAGAAATTGGAATATCAGACAAAGAAGAACAAGCAGCTCGATACTGGCAGCATGCTGTCAAAGCAAAAAAAAAAAAGACACTTGAAGAGAACGCACAGGTATAGACAGGACAAGTGGGAACTTAGAACTATCACAGTTTTTACTCCTTGGTGTTTGAGCAACAGGCTGCAAGTGGTAAATGATTTATATAAATAACTCGCTGTTATTACACCGGCACGTGCCTGGCACGTGGTTTAGATGTCTAACGGAACGCACCGTGGAGCGCTGGTTTAAATCTCCAGTCGTGTGCCTCAGGATTTGTTTTTAATTTAGTTTTCTCTGCACCTTTTTTATCTTTGCACACACACACACCAGGGACAATGCAGGAATAGCAATGAAAAAAATGTACTGAGAGCATCCATATAATTGCTGTCATGACGACCGTCTACATGCTTCGTGTACGTGTGAGCTGTGCAAAGTGAGCATAGACGTAGGACCAGCACAGACTTCTTGTATTGCGCAGAGCAAAAGGAGAGGCTTGCTGTGTTGAATGTTTGCTTCTCCAATGATGTAGCCAATAGTATGCATGTGCAAACTTAGAGCAGCAAGTTGTGACAGGATGTCCCCTTTTGCAGTGGCGATGGCCGCGGCAGTGGTGGGGCAGGGAGCATGATGCACTCGCGTCCTCCAGTGAGCCGCACCAATTTGAAGCAGCAACTGCAGCGTCACCAGGCAGAGCAGGAGGAGCGGCGTCTGCGCGAGCTGTTGGGGGCCCCTCGGCAACCCTCGTCGGCCATCTGCGTCCCCGGCATGCCTGACACCATCCCCGACAACATACAGGTGCCCACACAAGTGTTGCAGGTGTGTTGCTCATTGTGTCCGTAGCAGCTGCAATCTGTCCAAAAAAAATTCGGGCAGGTTCGCACTAGGGGTGCAAACCCTGAAGGAAGTGCGAGGCTGGGCAGCTGTTCTCTCTTTTTCTTTCCTTTCTTTATCTTTCTGGTTCTTCCTGTTTTTCCCTTCCCTATTCCTACTTTTCCTTTCCTATTCCTTCCCTCTTTCCTTCACTCTCTCGCTTGTTTCCTTTTTTTTATTTCTATACGTAGTTGTACCTGCATTACGCCAAGCTACCACAGCATTCGATGGCTGCATACAACTGAATACGACAGCCCGAGCCCCTTAAGTGCTGCTCTGCACTATAAATTGGCAGAATATGCGGGTCTCACATGTGCAATGTGAAAAGCATCGAGGAGATGATTAGCTCTGTCCCCATGGAGTATCACTTTGATTGTATAGACAACTGGTAAGGAACACTTTAAGAGTGTCAATATACGCAGTGTAAAAAAAAAAATCCTTCATATCCACAAAGTGAATAAGTGGGCAAAGCAGTGAAATCGTTCGGTGTTACCATAAATCACCCATGATGTTGATTACTCGCGCATGTAAATGAGTGACAAAGCAGTGTACAGTTATATACAATGTTTGTTGGTCACAAGTGGTATGTTGTATTGCATTGTGAATTTGCTTTGGCTTCATTATTACTGCTTTGTAGTATCGGGTCTAGCTTGGGAAGTTTGCAAAAATGGGGTCTGCGCACGTTTTCATGGTGGTTGTTTCCAGTCATACGGAACCCATATGCATGTCGAGAAGTCATATACTGCTCAAACTAGGCGCTGTCCGTGATCATCGTTGTCATTATCATCAACATTGTCATGGTGTATATTGTGTACTTTGCACGTGCTGAGCCATGATGGCAGAAAGGGAATGTGTGGTGTGGAACACGTTTGTTCTTTGTCATTAGCGTCATTATCAGCATTCAGCAGCTGACTACGGTGATGGACCATATGGAGCTTCACGCCTAAAAATTCTGGACAGACCACTACATATTATGATCATCCTGGATCTACTCTACGTCCACTGCGAGATGAAGGCTCCTCCCAATAATCTACAGTTTACCCTCTCTTCTGTGAGATGATTGCATTTTATTCCTCAGAACTGCTTGAATTTCTCCCTTCACTTCGTGCTCTACTGCTCTCAGGGGTATTTCGCGTCCTTTGGAACTCATTTCATTGGTCTTCATGAACACCGCTCGTCTTTTCATTGTATTACTTGGCCTATTCAGGTCAGTTTTTACAGCTTTCTTTTCAATTGGAATATTGCCTACCATGTTCCTTCTTCAATGTCCTGCTATCTCTTACAGCTTGACTGAGAAAAAGTATCAATAGGTTAAAGCCAATGTTTCAGTAAGTAGACATGAATGCAAGCACCTTAATCCATAAGTTGTCTTCGATGACACCTTATTCGGTGATACTTCTCATCACTTCAAGCTCTAGTCCTATGACTGTTTGAAAAAAGAGTGCCCTACCATCAGCTGAGTGAACCATCAATAACTCTTTCTGATAAGGAGCCAGCGTTTTCGTACAGTCGCAGATGCCATAGGCGCTATTTTGTTGCTCTATGGCACTGTGGTCGTTGGTAAGGGGGGGCTAACATACATAGATATTTTATCGGTTTTGTTATTTTGGTTTGCAATTTGGTGTTATCGTATGTGCAACGATACTGTTTCTTCTGCCAGTATATATTTCACAGCTTTCCGAATAAACTTTCAGTTGGTAGTAAGTGCTTTTCCCTGTCTATTCTGTCCGCGTCCAAGTAATGCGCTCTTATTTCAAACAGTCATGTATCACCAACTCGCCCAATCAACCATATTGACAAGTTATATGTCTAGTCCCATCTTATTTAGTGCCGTCTATGTCTTTCTTAATTTCTTTCTGGCTTCCTTTTCATCTGCTGCGCAGCAAAGCACCAACAAATCCCATCCTCATGGCTTTTCACTTGCTCAATGTCACTTGTGGCTGCTCTGCAGTTCCTCCTAGTACCTCACACTGCATGACATCACATGAGCACAAATCAGTGCAGCATTCCAGCATGGCCACTGTTGAAGAATTTGCTTGATTGGAAGACTGAATAATTCAGACCGTTATAATTCATACCCTCTTTTAAATCAAAGAAATTTAATGTTTTTATTTGGCCAGCTCTTTTTAAAGTATTGTATTGCTGCTCAATCAAAATCAATTTCATAGATTCGTTTAATTTATATTTTTTGCCGGCCCATGCCTGAAAATATCTTTGTCACTTTGAACTGAACAATTTTCTATCTCTCTAACAGTTGCAACTCAAGCTGATTGCCCGGGGCTGCTATGCAGTCAGACCTCTTAGATCACATGTGGCAAAAATGGCGTGTTGACTGAGGAAGAAATGAAGAAAAAAGAAATGGCTGTCTCTCCTGTCATTGAGGGTATACTAAAGCAGTAGATGAAAATGTTTACCGGCAAAGCAGACTTGTTCTAGATAGCCACACCCTTGATAACGGTATAGTACATGTTCTTAAAGGCATAAATCTCAGCCTTTGCTTGGCATATGTGGCCACAATGCGATACAGACCTGAAAGCTGACTTAGCTGAAATGAACCTGTTTTTAGCTGAACCTCATTGCAAGTCTTGTCTTGGCCAAGCACTGTTTGCGCAGCACGTTCATTCAGTGTTACATCATCAGAAGCGGTGGAAAACTTGCGAACACGAAGCTTACAAACGCACAAACAACCCTATCTGAGCGCCAAATAATGAGAGTCGAATGTACGGGGCCGTGTATCTGCACATGAAATTTTGCGATTGGCTACGATAGATAGAGCTTGAGTTTACTAGGAGTTCATCATCGTCCCTCTCAGCCGGTGTCAATCCACTGTAGGATGAAGGCCTCTATCAAAGATTTTTAGTTTAACCTATTCTGTGCAAGCTGATTCTATTTCATATTGTCACGGGGTCGTGACATGGCCGAAGACAGGAAACTTTGCATTGGAATATAACTATTTATTTGGGCGAACCTGTGCCCGGTAAACGGAAAGTCCGATTACAGTAGCAGTCTTGGACTGATAGCGGCGAACGGAGCGCCGGCCGTCGATTAACTACTGATAAGCGGCGAAGGGCGTTGGCATTTATACCCTTGCCGTCGAATGTTCTAGCGTTATCGTTGGCGGTAGCGTAGGTTCCAAAATAATCTGTACAGTTCGCAGAGTGGGTGTGATATTATCGAAATGATCTACTAAAGTCTACTAAAGTAAATCTACTAAACTAAATGATCTACTAAACTGCACGCGCGTTTTGCGCTGAGAATCGCGTAGTGTTTTGGGGCGATAACGAAACCTGAGAAATGGAACGGGTCATTGCCCCCTCTGAAAAAGACATCGTCCCGATGCTTTAACTAAAGATGAAGGTACAACAATAATGCAAGAAAGTACGATGAATAAATTACGATACAATAATAATACAAAAAAACGCTATTTCAGTTTGTTAACGTGCATGAAACGGCTTGAGGCGCGCGACATGGACGACTTCAGGTCGCGATAAGCATCGTTGAGAGTTCATGATGCCGTTGGGGACAACCTCGTAATCAAATGGGCCGAGACGTCGAACCACCCTGTACGGTCCGAAGTACCGTCGCGGAAGCTTTTCACTTAAACCACGTCAGCGTATCGGCGTCCACACCCAAACATGTTCACCGGGCTGGTATTCCACAAAGCGTCGTCGAAGATTGTAACGGCGGCTGTTGGTCCTCTGTTGATTCTTGATATGGAGTTGCGCCAGTTGTCGGGTTTCTTCGGCGCAAATGAAGGTACTCACTCACATCGAGGTTTTCTTCGTCGGTGACGTTGGGTAACATGGCATCGAGTGGCGTTGCCGGGCTCCTTCCGTAGACCAATTTGTATGGAGATATCTGCGTCGTCTCCTGCACCGCCGTGTTGTATGCGAAGGTCACGTACGGAAGAATGGCGTCCCACGTCTTGTGTTCGACATCGACGTACATTGACAGCATGTCGGCGATCATCTTGTTAAGCCGCTCAGTGAGGCCGTTGGTCTGTGGGTGGTACGCTGTCGACCGGCGGTGGTTTGTCTGGCTGTATGCGAAGATCGGTTGAGTTAAGTCGGCAGTAAATGCCGTTCCTCTGTCGGTGATAAGGACCTCCAGGGCACCGTGACGTAGGACGATATTTTCGACGAAGAACTTAGCTACCTCAGATGCACCGTCTTTGGGAAGGGCTTCTGTCTCGGCGTAGCGGGTGAGGTAGTCGGTAGCTACCACGATCCACTTGTTTCCGAAAGCCGACGTCGGGCACGGCCCCAGTAGGTCCATACCAATCTGCTGGAAGGGTCGGCAAGGTGGTTCAATCAGCTGCAGAAGTCTTGCTGGCCTTGTCGGCGGTGCCTTGCGTCGCTGACAGTCCCGGCATGTCCTCACATAACGAGTGACGTCGGTGGTAAGACGTGGCCAGAAGTACCTTTCTTGTATTCCCTACCATCGGATCGTCGTGCTGGGCCTGCAGAAGTTCTGGTCGCAGAGCTGAAGGCACCACAAAGAGGTACTTAGCTCAAAGCGGTGAAAAGTTTTTCTTTTGTAGAAGACCGTTTCGCAGGAAGAACGACGCAAGTGCGCGCAATACCTTCGGGACTTTGGCGGTCCTGCCTTCGAGGTATTCTATTAGGGCCTTAAGTTCCGGGTCTCCCCGCTGTCGTTCAGCGAAGTTGTCGGTAGTTATCGTTCCCAAGAAGTCCGACGTCCGCGATGGATTCCACGTGAGGCTGCACTGAAGGAAGTAATTTTCGCAGCTCTTCTTGCACGATCGCTCGGATTGTCTCACGCAAGTCAGTGATTCCAAGCGCTTGAATGTCGGCGTAGCTTGTAGACGAGAAGCTACGGTTATATTGCCGCGTGCGCATCTCGAGCGTCTTCTCTATCGTAGATGCTTTTGAAATGAATTAGGCGACCGTCTTTGGCAGGTTTCTGATCAGCCCGGCAAAGAGTTCCTGCTCCTGCAATACGAAAATTGCTTTTCGACGTCATCGAAAAATTCGGCAGACCCCAATCACGAAACATCGCATCATAACCGAAGAAAATGCCAGACCACTCCATCAGAGTCCGTACAGCGTTTCGACGCGAGAACGTGAGGCCATGAAGGGAGAAGTTGATGAAATGCTGCGGGGTGACATTATCCAGCCCTCCAAGAGTCCATGGGCATCCCCCGTGGTGTTACTGAAGAAAAAGGATGGAACCCTACGTTTCTGCGTCGATTATCGCCGCCTGAACAAAATCACAAGAAAGGACGTGTATCCTCTTCCACGAATAGACGACGTACTTGATCGGCTCCATAACGCCAAGTACTTTTCGTCAATGGACCTCAAGACTGGCTATTGGCAAATTGAAGTCGATGAAAGAGACTGACAGAAGACGGCGTTTATAACACCGGACGGCCTCTTCGAGTTTAAGGTGATGCCCTTCGGTCTTTGCTCTGCGCCTGCAACTTTTCAACGCGTTATGGATACAGTACTGGCAAGATTGAAGTGGCAGACTTGCCTTGAGTACTTGGACGATGTCGTCGTGTTTTTCTCGAGTTTCGACTAGCATTTTCGGCGCCTTGAAGCTGTACTTTAAGCCATCAAGACGTCCAGACTCGCACTGAAGCCAGAAAAGTGCAGATTTGCGTACGAGGAGCTCTTTTTTCTGGGGCACGTTATTAGCAAGTCTGGAGTTTGTCCCGATCCACGGAAAACAGCCGTCATCGCCGACTTCCCGCCGCCCACTGACAAGAAGGCGGTGCGCCGATTTGTGGGCCTGTGCGAGAGGTACTGGTATTGATACCCAGCACCTCCACCAGATGTTACGGGGTCGTGACATGGCGGAAGACAGGAGACTTTGCATTGGAATTTAACTGTTTATTTGGGCGAACCTGTGCCCGGTAAATGGAAAGGCCGATTACAGTAGCAGTCTTGGACTGATAGTGGCGAACAAAGCGTCGGCCGTCAATCAACTACTGACATGCAGTGAAGCGCGTTGGAATTTATACTCTTGCCGTCGAATGTTCTAGCGTTATCGCTGGCGGTGGCGCAGGTTACAGAATGATTTGTACGGTTCACAGAGTAGGCGTGATCTTATCGAAATGATCTACTACAGTCCGGAAGCTTCTCGAAAACTGCAAGCGCGGTATGCGCTGAGAATTGTGTAGTGTTTTGGGAGGATAACAAAACTTGGGAAATGGAATGTGGCAATATTTGTGAGCTTCCTAATTTCGTCATTTCATCGCCTTCCTCAACTGCATTTTTCATCCTTTGGTAATCATTCTGCTGCTCTTACTTTACACCGGTTGTCTGTTCTACGCATTGCATGACCAGCCCAGGTTCATTTTTCTCATATAATGTTAGCTAGGATATCTTACACTCCAGTCTGTTTTCTTACCCATGCCGCCATCGTCTGATCTTTCAATGCTATTTCCATCATTCTGTGTTCATTGTACACTATGTGATCTTCAGCTTTTGTTCTAGTTGTTTTCTTAATCTCTGTGTCTCAGCCCCATACGTCAGAACTGCCAGTATGCAGTGGTTGCTTGAATAATGGTGACAGATTTTCTGACAATATTTGGGAGTGCCTGTCAAATATGCTCCAACCCACTCGTATTTTTCGGTAAATTTTTTGTTGTGATTCAGTTTTAATGTAAATAATTATTGAATGATTACATGGGACGATCTTAGTTCACTTTCATTATTTTTAAGATGTGGAAGCAATATTTTTGTAACTTGTTTGGGCAGTAACTAGTGGGTGTTGTAATGGCGTTTCATGGAAACGGTTAAGGGGCGCAGACTGCATTTTTTTAAACTTTTCACACATTGCCGACATGTTCTTGTTTTGTCTGAATTCCTGGACAACAGCTCTGGCTTTTGACTCGAGTATAATTGAAGGTCACCGACAAAGAGAGCTTAAAGTGCCGTTTGAACAACTGAGACAGTTTGGTTTTTGTTCGTATTGGTGGAATGCTTCTTAGCTCACTTTCTTTCCAGTACACTGGTGTCATGAGGAAAAGCGTACAAAGATTGGGAAGGGGCCATGAGCTGTTGGGACACACTGCACATTTTGTTCTTTAATTAAATACGGGTGCATGTGCTCTCTGATAATGAGTACCACTCTGATAGCCAACATCTAAATGCTTTACTGGCCATCATGTGGAGCTGTCTATGACTTTAATGTGGTACTGAGAAACATTTAACATTATGACACTAGTTGGCCCGAGTCGTTATTTGTGAAAACTTCTGATAATTCAATCTTTTGGTAATTCAGGTGAAATCCTGTGGTCCAGTTGGTGTTCACACATTTGTCCACACAGGTCAACAATTGAACCTGTGTGAACAAATGATGGTCGGCTTTGAACCAGCATTGCTCCTGGTGCACTCACCCTTCACAACTCTAAAAATGCAGTAAAGTGTTGGATTGGGGACACAGTTTCCTGAGAAAGCCATGGACACTATTTCAGAGGAGGAGCAGCATCGAGCACATGGCAGTGATGTAAGTGCGGATGTTGCACAATGGCCTCGCAATGCAGCTCCGTACGTGCACTGCCCGATTGTTGGGTTGTATGCTCCTAGACAGGCTGCTGAGGGCTGTTGGCATAGCTCCAGAATGAACTAAGCTTGGGAGAGGGTCCTCTCATGGTAACACTTTCGAGTTTTTTGCCCAGCTGGTGGAGCTCAGGTTACATGCATGCCAGCAAGTCAATGTACCTAGTTACCTTTTGCATCTCGGAATCGGACTCCTGCAGCATTTCTGTAAATTGTGCAGTATTCCAATAGATGCTGGCCAGGACAGTGCCACATATCTTGCAAACAAACTCCCCATATAAGTCAAGATCACAAAATGTGATTCTTTGGCTTCACAATGCCAGAAAAGGGAACAGACATCTTTATTCTGACCTTTAAGTCACATATTTATGCAGTGTGGGTACTTGGCTTGATCCTACTCTGTTCTCTTGACGCATGACCTGCTTGTTTCTTTTTTTTTTTTTTTTAACAGTTGCTCTCAATGTTACACCAAGCTGATATCATGGCTAAGCGTTTTTATGGTTTGCTTTGTAGTTTCTTATCCTGAACGATGAGTTGACAAGTGTCATGTTGATGATGCAGGTGCAGTCACGACTGGAGAACCCAACCCGCTACCATGTGGAACAGAGCAAGCGTCGCCAAGTGAAACAGTACCTGAGTGGCAGTCAACTGCTGTCACGACCACAGCTCCAGCACGTTGCTTCCTCCGCCCCTGGCGAAGCATTCAGCCCTGACAGCCCTGCTTCGCTGCCTCGTAGCGGTTCTGCAGCAACCAGCAACTCAGAGGTAACCATTTTAAGCTCCCAAGCGGTGAACTTACTGAGTAGTGCCATTTGCGAGTACAGGGGCTTCTTGTGGGCGGAAATTAATCCTAACGTTTACTTTGAGAGTTCCATGTTCCTAACACTAGCGGGGACCGGCGCTCAGTAGAAGCTGGTCAATTCGAATTTCACAGGGATGCCTGCACAGTTCAAGATTTAATGAAAGTAATTTATTAACGTATGAATATGCTGAAATTAGAGGTGACATTATAGTTTCGTCAACCAAAGGACCAAGCAGCATTTCATACAGGCTACTCGATAATAAAACATATTCATACTATCAATCAGGTAATAGAGAAATGCATGGAATACAACCAACTCCTATACATATAGCCTTCGTAGATTACAAAAAGGCATTTAAGTCAGTCTAGACACCAGCAGTAATGCAGGCACTACAGAATCAGGGAATCGACAAACCCTACATAAGTAAACTGGAAGAAATCGGCAGCGGATCCACAGCCACCAGTGCTCAATAAAGACAGTGGCAGAATACCAATAAAGGAGGGTGTAAGGCAGGGAAACAAGATCTCTTCAATGTCATGCACAGCATGTTTATAGCAGGTTTTCAGGGCCCTGGATTAGGAAAAGTTAGAGGTAAGAGTTTATGAAGACTATCTTAGTAACCTGTGATTCGCTGATGACATTGCCTTGATGAGTCACTCAGGGGACGGATTACAGCTCATGATTTCTAAGCTGGACACGGAAAGCAGAAAAGTAGGCCTGAAAATTAATATGCCTAAAACTAAAGTAATGTGCAATACAGTCACCGACCGATTTTTCGGACCTGGCGGGGACCGAAAAAAAGTACGAAAAATCGAACAGTCCGAAAAATTCGTTTTCGCCAAAAATCTGAAGTTTATTGCATCAGGCAGGTTTAAAAAAGTTCTTGATGCTGCCTTGCCTCAAACTACGCTTGGAGGCAATTTGGTTTGCCCGTATTTGCGCCAAGGTGACATCGTCGCCGTAAACGCTCGACAAAATTGTCACCGCGTTGGCGATCTCCGCCGCCGACGGCTGCGGGCGGTCGTCGTTGTCGTCATCCGAGCCGCTCTCCGGCTCGGATGACGACAACGTCCACTCTCTATTAGCTTGATTATGGCAGCTTTCTTCTCCATCGTCAGGGTCGTATACTTCCCACGCTTCTTCACATCACCTGGCTCCTGCGATGGCACAGATGGCGGAGCCATGGCACCGAGAACACAAAATTCGATGCCGCAGATAGCCGCTGCGAAGCACACAACGTCTCGACGCTACGCGACAAAGCACGTGCAGAATGTCGACTGAAAAAAGCTGCAACGACAATAAAAGAATCCTTCTTTCGCCTCCTCCCCGTGCGATGTGATGACGATAGTGCTGACCGAAGACAAAAAAACGGCATCCATCACTGCGTCTTTTAAAAAGCAAACACGGCCTCCGAAACTTAAAATATGGCGTGCGCATTCCAATCTCGGAGGCAGGAAAGGCATCTGAAGACCAAGCTTAGCCAAGCCGACGGAAAATCCAACATGGCGGCGTTCATAATGGCTTGGGGCATGGCACAAAACGAGCGATTTAGTCCGAAAAATCGAACTTTCGGGGACAAATTCGCCCGAAAAATCGGTCGAAACAATGCATTAGCTCTATGGGATCCCTGACGGTGCATTCATGAAGTCCGGAATATCCAACAAGTCCGAATTTTTGGAGTCCGGAAAATCGGTCGGCGACTGTATTCTCGGTAGAAAACAGTGCTTTGCAATAGGTGGAGAGATGCTGGAAGTTGTTAGGGAATGTGTCTACTGGAAGTTGTAGAGAAATGTGTCTACTTAGGACAGGTAGTAACCGCGTAGCGAAACCATGAAAGTGAAATAACTAGAAGAATACGTATGGGGTGGATCATATTCGGCAAGCATTCTCGAATCATGAATGATAATCTACCACCGTCACGTTTTATTTAAGAAGCAAATTCATAATGTGTTTTCTGTGATTGTTTTTCAAAAAGTGATCATGATGTCTACCTGGGTTGTTTGGTAATGGAAATTCCAGCGACAGACACTGAACAAAGCACAGCTGCTGTCAAGCTGTTTCCACACAATCAAATAAAGAAAAAAAGCTTTTTTTCAATATGGCAGTCAGAATTTATACAATTTTTGTTGTTTTGTCTTATCTTGTGGATGAGATACTCTATGGGAAAAGGCTGTGGTAGTACAGTAGACTCCTTTTAAGACAAACTCCAAGGGACCACAATCATTTGTTCGTCTTATCAGAAGTGCCCCCAAAAACGAAATGCTAACATGCCAAGTGCGCCTAAATGTGTCGCTTGAAAACACTGAATGAAGTATACTTACAACAGTGAGCAAAGGAACAAGAAAAACCGTTTATTTGGCTCAGCTTCATAAAAACTCTGCTTTCAAGTACAGTATTTAGACCACTCTAACGATTGCTGAATTTAGAGAATTCATAGTTAATATGCTAATGAATAAATTGCTACCACATTAGCAAATAACATTGGAGCCTGACCCTATTTTGATAATTGCAAAAAGATAAAAAGGTAAAGATAAGCACAATTTTTCCTTTAAAGAATGGAAAGCTTATTCATTTGGCTGTTCAGCTTCTGAGAGGCTGTTTTACTGGCTCTGCTATCACTTTTCGATACATCTCCATTGCGTACCGTTACCTTGTTAAAGTCAATACAGTCGAGCCCGCTTATAACGAACCTGAGTGTTATGTGGCATCCGTTCGCTGTATCCCGAAGTTTGTAGTAAATGAAACACAGCTTTTAAAAAAGTTGCAAGTGAAAACACAAACTTTTTTTTTGCCCCAGAAAGTCTGTGATGCGCGTGTTTCAAACAGCAAAAGTGATATGGGCAGTCTCGAGTTCATTTAAAACAGCAGGGTGCTCGTTCGCCGAGGCCCGTGGCATAAGCTGCATGAGGCGCTGACTCCAAAGTTTAGTCGTTCTCGCAATCCGATTCCTCCAAATCGCTCGCCCCACGTACTTCATTCACAATGCCCCAATCCGTGCACGGTTCCGCAGTGTCGGGATCATCATCGGCCATAATTAAACCATCGCAACAGATGTCCCACCCGCTCTCCCAGGTTGGAGTCGACGACGCGCTGCCACAAATCGCCGCCGCATTCCGGAAGCTGCAGACTCAGCATGAAGCCCGACGTCGACGAAGTCGGCCTCGCGAAAACAGTTTCACGCGCATGTAGCCGTCACCGCCACCCACGAAATATTCACCATCTCCACAGTTGAATACCGGGACGCCTGAAGCAGCAAGTTGGCTGCCAGGTGGTCAACAGCTATGAGCAAACGCTCCGCAACGCGGCACCTAATGCACGGATTACGTTCAAACCAAGCGATCACACTTTTGACGTTTTGTTGAGCGACAGGAAAAAGCGTGCTAGTCCTCCCGCCGGCCATCATGACCACGCATGCACACCAAGAGCGAGCAAGATGTGCACACGCGACACACATTCCAGGACGCGTGTAACATCTCAGAGCCCGTTTCCAGTCAGAAAACGAAACTAATTCGAGCCAGCGTGGGGGGTGTCGTGGAGCGGTGGAGAGGGGCGAAGGGGTTTTGATCAAGAGAGGAGAGCAGACTGGCAAAAGAAGGGCAAGGAGTTGGGATAAAGAGAGTGGAGGATGCGGTGGGAGGGCGACCTTGAAAACCAAAACACATGGGAAGGAGGCAGGTTGGGTAGCTTGCTTGAAAGGTCCGTGAAACTCGCACATAAAAAAACTTGGAAAAAGTGCCTGCGCGCGCAGAAGTCATAGCATGGCCGCCTGGATGGCCGCATGGCCGCCTGGAGCATGCCCGCCCACGGCGGTGTTCAAAGAATCGGCGGCCGTGGTCAAAAAATCGTTTTGTTGCGCCGGCATGTCTGCGTGGCCTCACAAACTTTGATATCTCACGATTCGTTCCGCATAAAAGAACAGCCATTTTCGCGATTCTGCACGCGCGCGGAAGGCATGCTGAGTCGAGAGGAGTTAGTGAGCGAGAACAAGTCCTAAACACGAAACGAATCTCAAATTATCGGAGTTGGTGGGGTAGCGTACGCACGTGGGCTAGACACAGACTATCGGATACAGTCAGTGGCCGACGTTGTTGGCAAATGGTCTGGTCACTCCAGCCCGGTGACACCAACGACAGTACAAAACAGGGTAGATGGCCGACCGGTCTTCGAAAGATCGGTGGCAGTGTGAAAACACGGGCCTCGTCTGGCAATGCGGGGTGCTCAGAGTAGCGGGGGGACAAAGGACGAAGGGGTGCGGAACAAAAAGGAACAAAAAGCAGTCGAGGCATGGAGGAAGGAAACAGTTGTTCTTTTCAAGTGAAAGTTCACTTTAAGTGGGGCCATTATATGTGGGCTCGACTGTATACGCCTAGTTGCTTATGAAAGTAGGCATGTTTTTTCTTTGAGGTTTGGATATTTTCATGACTTTCAGCCCGCATTAACTTTTCCTGAACGACATGCGGATAATATATACATTTACACTACTCTCGATCACAAGCCTTGGACACACAAAAAGACACGACACAGCTATATTTAGTGGGCAGAATGACCTTCAGTTGCCGTGGACTTTCATAATGAAAACGGCGATTCACAATTTGGTACATTCCTCTGGGAATAGCAGAGGAGCTATGCCAAACAATGCAAGCTGACCACAGCATATGCTCAGGGGCCATTGTGAGATGGTGATCACAGTGCATGTGATTCCTCTGATGGGAATGCTAGTGCTGCATTTGTGGATTCAGTTCCATGGGATTATAATGCACCAACAGTCTTCGTTCCCGTTTTCACTGCCACTCTATTTTTTCGCCCCCCCCCCCCCCCCCTCCCTTACATTTTATCCTCTAGACAAGCTCTTGTGTTCTTCTGTTCTCCACTGTACTCTAGTTGGAGAACTGATGAACACAAGGGGAATTCGAAAGGACGAACGTTTTTGTTGTTTTCTTTGCTCATAAATCCAGCGCTTTC